GGTTTAGGGTTTAGGGTTTAGATTTAGGGTTTAGGGAATGGACCCTGGCTCAGGACCGCTTCAGAGCGGCGTATGCCGACGCAGCATGCTCGGCCAGGGTTGCAATCCAGTCGTCAGGTTCGGGGTGAGGTTTAGGGTCATAGGGTTCTGAGATGAATGGGTTCTGGGGTGCGGGCCCTTGGGTTGTGGAGGGTATATAAAGGGTATATAAGGGGTCCCCTTTTCAAGGCCCCTACTAAGGGGCCATGTAACTACCCTAAGAGAAAAGAGGGTGTATATAGGGCTGTATAGAAGTTATATGTGGATTTCTGCTTCAGCTAGAGGTTCAAGTCTTGAAGGGCCTGGTGGGGGTTTAGGAGAGATTTGCGGCTTGTAGGGTTCGATGTACTGCTGCTTAAGGGCGAGTGGGGAAGGGCGGGCGGCCGGTGGTATAGGTACTACTACATATGGGTGGTTGTCAGAACTATGGTCCCTTTTTGGATCCCAAGTACAATACGGCACACAAGATTTCGTGTATTCCAAAAGGGATCATTATTTTGACAGCCACCCATATATATACATATATATATATATGTATATATATATATGCATATGCTGCAAGTTCGTTGCTTCCTGGAAGGGACCTCACCCGAAACCCAAAACTCTCTACCTTCAGCCCCAAACGCCAGAGAAGCCAGCGAGTGCCATGCATTTATGCCGGGTTTAGGGTTTAGGGTTTAGGGTTTAGGGTTTAGGGTTTAGGGCCCAAAGCCACACTCACCGCTTTGGCGTTGGTCTCAATCATGGGCCCCTCTGGGTACATGAAAGGAATCTGCGATCATAGAGACCCACTGAAGGGTAAAGGGTTTACGCTTTAGGGTTCAGGATCAACCGCATGGTCCGTTGAGTGCATGGCGGTCTAAGGCCAAAACCTGGGTTCAGATTTTCCGCGTCACGCGGACGGACGCTGCGGCGAAGAGAAAATATGGCGACTCGGGGACCAGTGTTGAGGGCGAGCTGGGGTATAGAGGCTGGAGGATGTAGGGTTTAGGGTTTAGGGTTTAGGGTTTAGGGTTTAGGGTTTAGGGTGTCCTTAAGCGAAAATTGTGAAGACAACTGCGTGTGCTGGCTATTGCTGGCTGCATGCACTTTAGGTCCCGAAACCCTAAACCCTAAACCCTAAACCCTAAACCCTAAACCCTAAACCCTAAACCCTAAACCCTAAACCCTAAACCCTAAACCCTAAACCCTAAACCCTAAACCCTAAACCCTAAACCCTAAACCCAGAATCCGAAACCCCGCTCCAACAGGGAATCCGAAGCTTTCAGGGCTCAGTGGGACATGGCCGAGTCGGGTTTGCTGTACGTGGATGGCCTCAACATCTCGCGCCGCTTCTTTCCGTGGAAGGACCCGGGATCCCCCCAAAAGTCCCACCAAGGGTTTAGGGTTTAGGGTTTGGGGTTTAGGGTTTGGGGTTTAGGGTTTGGGGTTTAGGGTTTGGGGTTTAGGGTTTGGGGTTTGGGGTTAAGGGTTTAGGCTTGAGGACCCGCGAAACCCTCAGACCCCATTGAACCCTAAACCCGCCACGATGCCCCCCAAAGCCCCTCCACCCTAAACCCCGAAGCTCGAAGACCCTACACCCGAGGCCCGAAAGAACCCGGAGCCCCAAGACCTAAACGAGGACACCAGAGCAGGCCCTTATTCCTGTTTTTTGTGTTGGGGTCTGGCCTTATAAGCCTGCTTGAGCTTTACATCCGAAGTCCCTGAACGCCATGGAAGGTTGAGAGAAATTGTCTGGGGTTTAGGGGTTTCGGGGTTTTTGGTTTGTGTCCGGGGCGGGGTCGCTGGCGGCCGGCTTTGGGCGAAAGTTTAGGTTTCTGCTTTGGGTGCCTCGGTTGGATCTTTGGCATGTTGGGCCTTTTTGTGGCGGTTTGGGCTTGCTTGTTGTCTTGGTGTTAGGGTTTAGGGTTTCGGGTTTCAGGCCCCAAGCCCCCGAACCCAGAGCCTGGTCTGCGAGTCGCTTCCCTTAGAGTTTGTAGGGTCTTTGGTCTTCAACCCTGAACCCTAAATCCTAAACCCTAAACCCTAAGCCCTAAACCCTAAACCCTAAACCCCAAACCTAAACCCCACACCGCAGCAGAGGGGCTTTAGGGTTTTTCCGGGTTTAGGCTAGGGATGCTCTCGGCAGGAGAACTGGGACCTGAGTCGGTCCTTTCGGAAGGCAGATGGGTTTAGGGCTTAGGGTTTAGGCTTTTGGGGTTTGGGGTTTAGGGTTTAGGGTTAGGGGAGATGCAGTGTGGGAGGGGGCGGGACGAAGAGAGGTACCACTATAGGAGAATGAATGGGGGTTGTGTGAGGATTGCTGTAGAGATCCCACTGCTTAAAGCCTCTATTTTGGGATGTTCCTCCTTGTACTGACTGTCCTGATTAGGGATTGTAGGGGGTACTGTAATCCTTAATAAGGACTGTAAACATAAGTACAATATGGGGAACATCCCCACCTCTTTCGCAAGCCCCAGACTCTAAACTTCAGACCCTGAATCCCAAACACCAGACCGTAAATCTAGGCCCAGTTGAGATGGGCAGTTTCCGCATGTACCCGTCTACTACCCTTAGTGGTCTTGAATACCCCTTACAGAAGCCTTATATGTGAACTCATGTCCTGAAGTTGTCTGAACCCTAAAATCCCGAAACCCCAAAAAAACCCCAAACCCGAAACCCGAAACCCCAAGCCCCAAACCCCAAATCACGTACTAACAGTCCTTAATGGGGATTATCGTACCCCCCCCTACTATGATCCCTCTTAAGGACTGTCGGTCTGAGGGGGAGCATGGAACATCCGAAGGTAGGCCTAGTTTTGGGAAGTAGCCTGTAAGGATGCAGTTTGTCATACCGGGGAGGGTTCCCTAAACTCTGGGGTTTAGGGTTTTGGGTTTTGGGTTTGGGGTTTGGGGTCTATAGAAGTTGTAGTAGGGTTTGGGTCCGAAGTTTTTGGGCGGGCTTTGTGTGTTGTGTGTTTTCTCTGCTGTGGAGTTTGTATCGGGACGGGGGAGCCTTTTGAAGGGGGGGGGGGGGGGGGCGCCTCCCCTGGGGTGCGGGCCGAAAGTTTTGAGCGAGTTTTATAGGGTTTAGGATTTAGGGTTTATAGGGTTTAGGGTTTATAGGGTTTAGGGTTTAGGGTTTAGGGTTTAGGGTTTAGGGTTTAGGGTTTATAGGGTTTAGGGTTTGTGTCCGGAGGGCGGGGCTCTTTTGGGGGGGCCTCCGTTGGCCTGCGGACGGGGCTTTTTGGAGCCTCTCAGGGCCTTTCTGTCTCGGCTTGTCAGCTGCTTAGGCAAATAACTTTGTGTAAGTACATAATGGGCGGGAGTTTGTTTTGCTTCTGCAATGGATGAGGGTGGGGGGGGCCTCGCGGGGGCCTCCTGAGGCCTCCCCAGGCCTGTAGGGAACTTTAGGGCCTCCCAGTTCAGGAAATTTCTTACTTCGCCTTTAGTTGAACTTTAAACTTTTTGGGTTTCCTTATTTAGTAGGAAAATTACAGTTTAACCTTTTTTTCCCCTTGGTTTCTGGAGAAGTAAGAATTTGCTTAGCTTGCCCGTCTTTTCGACCTTTCGGTGCCTGGTTTTGGCGCCTCCTGCGGCCCTTTGGAGTCTCCCAAAACAAGCAACTTTGTAAGTTCATGATGACACCACATACAATTTCCATCCAATCCGCAGCCCCACAAAGGGCTCCAACATCTTCAATCAAACGCTAAGAACCCCCCCCCCCCCCAACGAACTAATAAAAACAAAAACCCAAAACCCCTCTGGCCCCACAAACCTCCCCCCCCCCCCCCCCCCCCCCCCACACCCCCCACAAGAAATGAAACAAAAGCAAAGAAACAAACCCCAACCACCCAAATTTCCCCCCGAGACCACCCAAAATCCCCTCTCAAAACCTCACAAGACCTCCTCAAAACACCAAAACCGCCACAAAACCCCCCAAAGCCAATATGCAGTTTCTATGCAAGATTTCAGCAAAAGCAAAAAGCAAAACCCGGCAAAACCCGACAAAACCCCCCAAAACCTCGGACACAAACCCTATACAATTGCTGTTTGCTATAGACCTGTCCCACAGGTGGAAAGCTTCGTGGCGGCTGCAAAGAATGCGGGCTTCGAGGTGCGGCTCTGGGCTTTCTTTCGGTTCAGGGTTTAGGGCTTAGGGTTTACGGCTTAGGGTTTAGGGTTTAGGGTTTAGGGTTTAGGGATTCCAGAACTGAAGCTCATTGCAGCCTACACCGCAAACCTCTTCCGATCCCATCCGCATTTCCGACTGCGAACCCTAAGCTACTCTAACCCAAACCCCGAAATCCAAAGCCCTATGAGCCAAACCCTGTAAAACGCCATAGGCATTGTAAACCCTGGCTAGATAGCCACTGAGCTCTTGACCCTACACCCTCTAGAGCCGCATTCCCACACCCTGCTCAAATCATCCTTCTCCCTCATGACCCTATATTCCCCTTGTTTTTTTAAATAATATTCTTGTTTACACAAAACCCAAGAGGACATTAAGAATATTATTGTTATTAAGGTTCTAAGGGGAGTGTAGTTTCGAGGTCAGCATCTTCCTCGATGCCTCGATCCAAAGCGACGAGTGCATGCGCAAGTGGCGCAAGCGGCGCGAAGTGGAGGTGAAGAAGATGAACCGAGGTGGAGGGTTTGGGGGCTCCGCTGCCCTTCTTGTTTCTGACCACCCCCCCGCCGCTTTGTCACCCTAAAACCTAGACCCTAAACCCTAAACCCGAATTAAACCCTAGACCCTAAACCCGGTTTTCGCGCTTTGTGTCTAGCAGTCCGGTGATTTCCGGTGGGCCTCTGGAGGGCACGTGCAGGTATGCCGCAGGGCATTCAGACGATCGTCGGAGATATGTTCCGGGAGATGGGGATCCCAGTGTATCTTGCTAGTCCAGTACGTTTTTTTTTTTTTTGTTGCTTCTGGGCTCCCTTGTGCTCTAACCAACCCTAAAAGGGTGCCCTTTTTATAGTATGGTTACTTGCTTCTGGGCTCCCTTATACAGTAGCCAACCCCAAAAAGGGTGCCCCTATTATGGTAGGGTTACTGAGCTACTGAGGTACTTTTCTGTTGACACCGACTTGGACGATGCCCTGGCGGCGTTTGCGGAGGCAGATTCCGCTGCAGTCCTCAGCGAAGACAGCGACTTCTTCCGGTACGAAGGGGGCACCTTCCCCATCTACGAAGGTTTTGAGATTCTAGGCTGGCTTTTGGGATAGCTTGTGTTTGCCTTACTTGGGCTTATAAGGGACCCTGTGTATAAACATTTTTCAGAGGGTTTAAAGGCCAATCCAGGATTGTGCGGTCCAGGCTCGAGTTGATACCCGCTTTCGGCTGTCGGGAGTCTGGCGCCAAGAAGCGTGTGCTGGGTCCGAAGCCAACGATGGTTGGGAGGATGCCCGCCTTCATCGATGTGCAACGCACCGGCATCTACACTCGAGGGGCTTGCTCTCCACTCACCCGGATGCTGGGAAATCCGCACGCGTGGCTTCGGCCCCTTCGCCAGGCCCTCTACTCGCGTTTCGGGCTTGGGGCTGTCCGTGAGGTCTTTCCGAGCTGGGACGCTCGCGCGGGGAAGGTTGTTTGGAGCAACGATGAGGTTCTGCCAGATGATGCCATGGATCACCTACTGGAGGATCCTGTGCTGGCCTTGCAGAGATTGGTTCCAGATCTCGAGGAGCAGGTGCCGGCGGACGTCGACGCGGTGCTGCGCTGGAGGCACATCTTCGGAGTGCATGCTGTGGTTCATGAGCTGTGCTGCGCGGCAAAGGACTCTTCTTTGTTCCGCGCTTTGGTAGAAGATACGATCCTGGCTGCTTCGGCACCTACGAAGCGCAGCGGTAAGGGCAAGGGAAAGCCTGGCAAGAACGCAAGGAGCTCGGAAGGCCAAATTTCGATTCTGGGGAACCGAAAAGGCCTACGGAGAGCGAATCGCACTACATGAAGGCCCCAAGATCATCACTTTTCATGGATGTTGCTGCTTGCTTTGTCTTATCACAAAAAAGGACTGCATAACATCGGAGGCGGGACGGTGCAAGAATTTTTTGTTCCCAAAAACACCAATGAATATCGCAATCTGGTCGCAAAGCCGGGTAAACGATGTCTACATTTCGAAAGAATAATCGAAATAATTCCGAAAAGGAAATATCTTGCAAAATGATTCCTTTCATCCAGATCGTGATATGGTGATTTTGTTCATTGAATTAATTTCAAAAATGAAATTAGATTCGAAAAGATAGTTATTCAAAT